GTTTTTTTTTAATCATGAACTGGAATATTTTTAAAGTTACCTCTTTGTTGCAGTCACATTTGCTTTCCCTACTACTGATCTCTTCAGAAGTAGTCCTAAATATAAAAAAAAATAGTAGATTCCACGATAAATTCTATACTGGTATTGCAATATATAATCGTTTGATGACCTGAATGTTTGCGTCATGTGTCACATATACAACAATAAAAAGAATAATAGACGCCTCTCTTCTAACGTTTATATTTTGCTGTTGCTAAGAGATCTGTGTTCACCTCCTAGATCATTTCTTATCACAGATAGAACGTAACGTTAACTTCAGCTTAAACGTATTACGTGGTAGTGACATACCTGCTGATACCTGCGGGAACATGAGAGAAATGAAAGATCATTAAAATATTGTTTTTATTTTAAAAATTGAGGAATACGTAATAAATAAATATTAAGCGCGTGTGAGAGCTATCATCTGTTATTATAAGCTACGTTACAAGTGAGAACTGCCGCCATGTGGTCCCGGTCTGGAACTGTAGAAAAGTCAGCCATTAGTCTATCTGAAAACCAAAGAATAAATAAATGTATACCGTTATTTGGCTTGATTTGCTGATTTAACAACAGTGGAAATAAAAATTTAAAGCGGATATTACGAGATGTTACATTTTAAGGTTTAGTAAATGATTAAGATTTTTCATCATCATCCATTGCCTTTACATCTTCGTCAGATGAGTTAAGTATCGCTTTGTGCAACTTTATAATTGCTGTGTAGTCTGATGTGAAAGCGGCAATTAGGAAGAATAGGTCCCACGGCTGCCGGTATTCCTCGAGAACTACATCTCTCTCGTCATTGTCAAAATGAACATAGGTACATGTATGTACTTACATATTATGTTACGCAAAAAGATTTAGTCTTGATTGCATTTTTGTTAGAAGCCGTATTTGTCTGGACCTGTTTTGCGTGTTCACCGCAAAAAGATACCGTTTGTCGTATCGACTCGGTTCGAGAGACATCACCCAAGACATATCGAACCAAGTCCAGTCTCGCGGTCACATAGATAACACAGGTCAACAAATTTTTTACCCAGAAACCAAAGTATACTTTTTATTAGGATTTTGGTGCGCTGAATCCAAATCCAGCCGCAGAATTGCTCTATCACGTCAGGTTGTTGAGATATTCTAACCTAAAAGTGCAAAAAACGCAATTTCTCAGCGAAAAAAAAAGATATTTGAGCAAACTCAACGTCATTTGAAAGCTAAAGACTTGGACTTCAAGATGCTCTTTGTACTTTTTTGGCAAAATAAAAGTTTAAGGGTTACATAACCTCAAAAATGGGCAAAAATAGCGTTTTTTGAACTTTTACATTAGAATATCTATCATCGATAGTCAGAAGATATCCTATCGGCTCGACCCCTTGGCATTACATAGAGATATAACTTCACTCTGCATTCTTTATTGTATGTATCACGGTAGATGCTCCGAATCGTTAGAAGTAAGAAAGGCCTTAACTTTCCGTCGTCGTTCCACACGGTAAAAATTTTATACCCATCATTTGGATCATTTGCACTCCAATTGTGCGCTTTTCAGAACGCCTGCGGTATTTCCGGACCAGCGCGACCTTCAAATCTGCAAGAAAAGAGCGTACTCTACCTCAAAGGCCGGCGCTGTGACTCTGAGTGCACGTTCACGGGTGGCGGTAGGCAATTCCATCGGGTGCCCCGTCTGCTCGTTTGTACACCATTAAAAAATCGAGGTCGAGTAGCGAGGGTATTTCGGCGAGGTATTTAAATTTTACACCACATCAGTTAACTCGACATACTGACGTAGCGAACGTGTTACGAAGACGATGGAGGTTACCGCGTTATATGTCGAGGTTCTCCCTGTGCGGGTGGGTGGCGGCGGCGTGTTTGTCGAGCAGACACACCCAGTCGCGCAGGCGCCGCGCGCGCGCGTACACGTCCCGCGGAGTGGCGCGCGCCGCGCCCGCCTCGCCCGCGCCCAGCAGCGCGCCGCCCAGCCACGCCGCCGCGCTGTCCTGCGCCGGCGCGCCGTGGAACTTGAACTCGCGCACGTGCAGCCGCGACCTGCGGACACGCACGGTGAGCGGGCGCTCTACGGAACGACGGCGCGGGGCGCGATGCCGCGATACTGACGCGTAAGGCGGCCGGGTGACGAGGTGCCGCAGCTTCCTTGGGCGAGGCCGCGCGCGCAGCCCGGGCAGGCTCGCCGTGCCGCCCGTCCACCAGCACGTTCTCCGCGAGGGGCGCGTCGCGCGTCGATCGGGCACCGCATTATGCACTTGCGAACGACGCTCACGGTCAGTTGCGTGAACTGCTCACGTGACGCGTGGAATACGTGCGGTCCGGTCGAACCGACGAGGAGCCGACCTGCAGCACGATGTCGGGCAGGGAGGCGAGCTCGTGTGTCCCTGGCGAAGAGCACCTCGGCGGCTCGCTCGCGCGTGGCGCCGGACACGCGCAGTCGGCCGCGCTCGCCGCACGCGAACTGCACGTCGCGCGCCGCCCGCGCCGCCTCCCACTGGCTGGGCGCGACTGCGGCTGCCCACGAAACAGGTCTTCACTGAAAAGTGTACAAACGCTTGTGATTGCGATCGTTATCGGTTTCCAGCTCGTTCCGATCGCTACGCGCACCTTTGATGTCCTCGATGACCAGGTCGGGCAGATCGGAGTGTCCGCGTCGTTGTCCTCGTCCGAGCAACCTCCGGAAGCTCCGCGTGTATCGCGTGCGCTCCCAGGGGCTGGGATTCCATGGCGTGAAGCACCACGCAGGAGTGCACCACTGAAACAGAAAAATAATCATAGGGGCCGCACTGTCGGCGCGAAAGAGATGCGGGCGGCGACACGTACCGGCGGCGACCTCCGCTTCCTTCGCTCCGATGGACACGATTAGCGCGACGGGAGTTCCCAGAGTCAGGGCGCAGAGCCGCGGAGAGTCCGCCCAAACGACTCCTGAAACCTGTCCATGAATAGATTTATACTAACCGAGCGAACAAACTTTATTTAAAGACATCACAAACCACAGCAGGCAATCTTTCCCTTTTAAGAGTAAACTAATAATGTTTTCATAGATAGATTTAAAGTGAGGGACAAGATAATGATTTCTTAAAACATGCACTAACATAAAGTACACAAGTTAAGTTACCGTTTGGTATGAGGCTTAAGACTATACTTAATATAATATTAATTGATAAGTTATTGCTATTTAAATTTGATGTTAGTATAATAATGCGAATTAATTACCTCATAATGTGTGAAGAGGACTTTGGCGAGTGTCTCTCTGAAAAGAGTGGGCGTGAGGAGTGACTCCACGACCACCACTTTGCGCTCTTTGGGGTTTACCAGCACATGTCTGTGTCATATAATATTGTACAGTAGTTATTGAATGAATCTTGCAAACCTAATGTTTAATGGTCAAGAAGGATCACTGCCCATATTACGTGCATGACACATACATTAATCTTAGATAGTAAATTTACAGACATATTAGAATTAATATTAGTTATGGTGTTAAATCTATGGTAATCCGGATTGGCCACTTAACACTTTGGTTTTCTATTTATCTAATCAGAGGTACTAACTAATATTAGTTCAATATGTAAATTATTCCAAAGTGTGACGCTTCGCTAGTCATACTCTACAATAAACTATGGAAAGAAGTTACATCAAAAACTACTATTTAATTTTCTAATTGTATTAATGTTAATGTATATATGGTGTGGTGTTGTACCTGAAGTAAAGCAGGTGCAGCATGTGCACCAGGTTATCGTACAGCTCATCGGCGGTTTGGTAGTCGTGCACGCGTCGGTAGCGGCGGGTCGCCGCGCACCAGAACTCTGACCGTACACGGATGCATCGCGGTGCGGTGGCCTCGGCCCGTGAATCCAAACCTTTAACATTATACATTTCATAGATTACTTTGAAGCCTTGTTCGGTAGTTTAGGTCTGCGAATGGTGTCATTGGGAGGATCAAAAGTAATGAAAGTCTGATTCTATACTAGTAACTATGGACAGAACAGTACATATTACAGTAACACATTTGTGTATTAGAGTATTGAAATAAGAACGGATAACTAACTTAGTGTAATCCGTGCCGAGGTCCAAAACGACAGCCTGCTTCTCTTGTATCAGTGCAATTCCTTCATATAGCGCCATTTTCTGAACTTACAGTTATGTTTAGGTACATTGAACTGAGCTTGGCTTTGGACTTTCTTGCATTACTGCTTAAAAAATAAGTTTACTGCAGTTTCTAAAATTTATATTATTCGTCATCTGTCATTCAGGCTGTCATCTGTCAAAACTGTCAACGTCACCAGTGTTGCCAGTTTTTTTTAGGAACCGATACTGTGAACTTTAAAATAACCTATACCAAAATAATCCAAGCGTTTTCATAGTGATTTTTTGGGAAAATAAATTTGCACGCGTCACAGATATATTAAAAGGCATTTCAAAAAGTAGATAGGGTTATTATTTTGTCCGGGACAATACCGTGTTGGGCAACGGCCACAATAAAATATATGTATTTTTAAAGGAACATGCCATTTATTTTCAAATACATACTTTTATTGGCAGTGGTTATAGTAGATAGAATAATATGTAAATGTGGAGCTGAGTATTAGGATTAAAGTTTTAGTATCTTATACAAATAAATAAGTTTACATATGTTACAGTACGTGTACAAATAAATAAGTTTAAAGTACTTCAAGTGAGAGATTAACAAAATTCCATTAGTGCTATACACAATTAATATTAGAGTTTGTTTAGAAGTTGGAGATTTGTATAGCAATTTTTAAAATCTTGCTTACTTTTATTTATAGTTAATCAAAGTACTAGCCCAAAGTATCTCTTTCAAATTTTGCCATTTTTGCCTTTACTGTAAAAGTCTACTGGAACCAGAGGTAAAGAAGTCAGCGAAGGTGTTTTGTACTGCCTCTAGGGGGTTGAATTTTTTCCACTTAAATTTTGAAATAAGTAGATATCTGTTGGAGCAAGGTCCGGCGAGTACGGTGGGTGAAACTGGCTTCCAGCTGTAACGCTTGTAGATTTGCGATGGTCTGTTGTGATGTCTGTCGTGGAGAAGCAATGGGAAAGAGCGTGAGCTTCTCCATCATTGTTTGCCATAGACATCTGCTGTCACTGTTGTGCTATTCGGTAAGAAGCTATGATATATAAGTCCAACACTGGTTCACTAGACAGTCACCATAATTTTCCTTTGGGTAATCTTTTTTTAGGGCACTGATTAGGTTCTGTACAACGGGTCTACCCACAGAGACGAACGCTTATGGTTGTCGTACAGGATCGACTTCTACATCAACAATCTGATTTAGGATTCCATCGTTTCTATGTCGATTTAGTAGTGATATTCATGCTTCGACGAGTAAGTCTTTCTGATGGTCGCTTAGTTCGTGTGGCACCCACGTATCTAGATTTTTTATCTTACCGATTTGACGCAAGTGCTTCAATGCTGTTTTGACAAACACTCTAAAGCTCGTAGTAAGCTTTGACATAGACTGATAAATAAATTGTTTGAGAGGGTCCTCTCTGTCCGCATCTTCCGGCAGTTGCGCGAGGTCGGCCCCGAATTGTCGAATGCCCAACTTCGTCATTCAATAGTCTGCCATTTAGGTGCATTAGGGAAGCACTCCACTATCACGGGATAGCAGTTACTCTTGTTTATTTTACAAATTGAAGTGATTGCTATTTAAGAATTTTAGATTTTTGAAAAGAAAGAAGAATAGAATTTAAAAAAGGATCTCAGCGAAAAAAATTCAACAGGATTTCAGGAGGATGGTTATGATGAAAACAATGATGATATAAAGGCGTAGCGGTTTAAGCGGTCACCTCGCTGCTTCCTGCTGCGCTGAGTATTGTGGGTTCGATCCCCTCATGGAAAAATAGTTTGTGTGATCCACGAATTATTGTTCTGAGTCTATGTGATCTTTGTGTCCATTTCATGAATTTATGTAATGGCCCTTGCGACACAATATATATTCATAGTACGGGTGTTTCTTAAAAAGAGTCCTCGTCTTAAAAAGAAAAAAAAAGATGATTATAATGGTGATGGTCATGCTGGTGCTGGTGGTAATTCTGATTTGAGGTTTTGGCCTATTGGTTTGTTCCAAGTTTTTCTTCTCTTTGCAGTGCTGTTGTCCAGCAGGGTTTGTTACTTTAGTCGGTTCTTAGGACACCAAGTGTTGTAGACACTTTTCTTAAAGAGCGCAATTTCGGCTTATTATGACGATAAAGATAAAACATTTGTTTTTGAAGGTATAAATAAATTAATTGAAAGATCTAATAAATGTGTTAGAGTTTTAGGATAAGAGACATTGAGAAGGAAAAATAAATTTGCGTTTAAATTCTTAGTTTTTACCCTCCATTCCGCGAACTTTTGACCGCCTCTCTTAGCTGCTACATATAATGTATATAGATTCGTACCTACTTAAGGTGACAGATATCTTTAATAAAGTCAACTGTCAAGAAGATAAAAATCGTAAAAAAAAACAGTTTATTTTATGGATAAATATTATGAGTTTGTGTGTACTATTTGAGATGTGCTATCTTAAAAGTTAAATAATGATAGTCTGTTGCGCACTAAGAACCGAAACTAATGCTTTTATGGTAATTGTTCAAAGAGTGCTGCTATCTGCTCGAGTTCTTGTTGTAGTTGAAGTGCAGACGATTCTATGTAAAAATAAGTCTGATACGTTTCAGCGATGTTGGGCAGTTGCATATCACGTCACCCAATAGGGCCAGTACTTCCTGGGCATGCGAGTGACATACTCAGCGCCTGTGGCGGGTACATCACCCCCTACTTGTGGCAGGTTGGGCAACTCGCCAGAGGCTAACGACCGCCGCCACTTCGAGTAGACGACGCTGCTTCGTTGGTTGCGTCACTAAAATGTTGGACTCTTTCTTTAATAACTTTTCGTGATAGTTTCGTTTTAAACGCTTGATTAAACAGATTTAATTAATTTTGTTCCATCAGTTGTAAGTAGCTTAAATTAGATTCCCATTTATGTCTTATGCTGCTTTTAGCAAGCTGAAATGCTTTTGTTAAAAGCTGTGTATGCTGGTGTAAATGTGTGTATTTGGAATTCGAACCATAAGCACTCGGAATTAGCTACGAATAAAATTCCAATAATAACATGGATCGTTGGTCAGACGGCGGGAGCCATGAGCGCGGTGATTGGCAAGTGGATGTTAAATAAAACGGTTCGCGAGATATTTATTTGATCTCTTAGCATACTAGCTGCGTGATTATGTAATGTTACGTAATAATTATATCAGCGGTTAAAAATATACGTAGGTATGTACATATACGCAATACTACTTATTCTGTAACAACACTAATGTCAGTGAAGGGGATATAAGACTGTCGTACCTTTTTTTCCCTGTGCGGAAATCCCCTCGGATACCACCCACCGGTGGTTATGTCGGACTCGAACCGACCAAAAACCGCACGCCGTCTCGGGTACCAGTTGCCGTGGAACCAGGTGTACCATAGGAAGGAAAACCCTGAAACCCCGACTTACCTCGGGCCATCTACTTGCGTAAATGACCCCCTCCTGTGTGGGAACCCCTATGTCCCCTTGTGCTCACGAAAGGGGGGCGCGTCTCGCCACCATCCCGGCCTGCTTCTGCTAGCTAGCTAGCTAGCTGCGCTTATGGAGGACGGAGGTCATTCTGCGACCTCCGGCGCCTTAGTCGTCTGCGGTACCTGGTCCGTTGCCATGCCTGGCGCTCCGGGAGAGTTCTAAACCTCTCCCGGTCTCGTTCCGCCATCTCCTTAACAAGCATAACTTGCTCGCAGAAGGAGACGGCGGAGTTCCACGAACTCTCGCTCCGTACCATGGCGGCAATCATGTTACCGAGCGAGAGAACTCCCACCCCGATGGCCGCCACGAGGCAACGCCTCTGCTCCACCCACGCCGGGCATTCTGCCAGCGTATGGAGCGCTGTGTCCACGGTTCGGCCATCGCAGTGGTGGCACTCAGGCGTTGGCTCCCTGCGGATCAGACACAGGTGATCTCCGAAGCATCCTTTCCCGGTGTTCACCTGCGTCAACGGGTATGAGAGGGTCCCGTGATGCCTCTCGAGCCAATCCTCCATAACGGATCTTACCGCCGCGATAACGGCGTGCCCAAGACTGTCGTACCCTAAAGACGGTGTTCCTTCTTGAGTGTAAAAGACATCGCAATTTGTTAAAAGTGCCCGAAAACTTTTAACGATATCTCTTTTGATTGATTGATTAAATCAACGTCTTGTTACTTGGAAATTTCATTACGTCTAAAAACTGTACTGAGGACAATTTTACTGCGAAAGTATCATTGTCAAATAAGGAACAATTTGTTAACGTGTTGATACGTTAACAAATTGTTCCTTATTTATTAATTAATTAACGACAAAAATAGGTGCAACTACTTATCTTCTTTACATAGTATAAAATAAAGTCGTTTGTTTATGTTGTAGGCTTAGATCTTATAAACTAAGTAACGGCTTTTAATGCGGTCACCAACCAATAGAGAGAGAGTGGCTCAAGAGGAAGGTTTATATGTATAATACATGCATATTTTAGTAGAGAAAATCCGAGAATTTCTAAGATTTGTTTTAAAAAAACATGGTTTTGTGCGCCTACATTGCAAACGCTGGCCAAAACTTCCAAGATAGACCACATCAATATCAATATTTCTTAAAAAGATCTACAAAAAAAGTCCGAAATGGCATATGTATATTTCCTAAGGATAAACCTCAGT